CGGTATACTACGTATACGCGCCAAAAACGCTGTCAGAGTGACATCTTTAAAATTCCATGAGATAAATATGAAAAATATACCATCGGAACTAATACTTCTTGCCCACTGTAAATGTCAAATAAAGAATGTGAGGGGACGACAACTTTCAAAAAATCACTTTTATGTGAATTTGAAATTTAAAAATCACTATAAATAGGAAATACCTATACATATATGCATAGAAAAAATAATTAAAACTTGAGCGGATGTCTACTTACTTAGCTGATATTTTTTTCTCCTTGAATTGTATTTTATCAGGTTGTCTATAGACTAAAAATACGTATCGAAGTAAACCTAGAAAAAATTGGAATAAGTTTAACTAAATTCATGGTTGTATTTTCTTCCGAGGATTATGTTTGACTGCGAAGAACTGATTCTCAAGGGATCATTTTTATTTATTTATTTATTTGTGTTTTTTTTCCTGCTGTTTTTGGTTGACAATTGCCCCAATTTATCAAGATCAGAGCGCTGGAGACCACATTTCTCCTCCATTCAAGCTATGGATCATTTTCAGTTAAAGTGTTGCATTCCTGATTTCAATGATAATTGAAATGTGCTGAACTGCTACTGAAATGGGTTTGGTTAGGTCATGCAACTAAACCAACTGCGCGGTAGAATGTTTAGTATCGAGCGGAAATGAAGGCGCTCTAACTTGAGACACAGCGGACTACCAGGCTACCTCCATAGCACGCGGATCAGGATTTTCAGTCATGCATTTTCAAAGATCGACTTTCAAAATTTTGCTGAAGCTACATAAGTTGCATAAACGTAAAATACGAGTATTCACATGCGATTTAAAACTACCTTCATTCTCAAGCACAAGCCTGATGATCCGGAAGTGCTCATTTGTGTTCAAGATCTACGAAAGTACATACTTTGATAAATGCATACCGTCTGTCAACCTTATGCTCACGTTGATCTATTTGAATTTGACATAAATAGTGTTAAACAAAAAGTTTTTCAAACGAACCTTTGCCCTCCGGTGGATCTGGGCCCATGTATTCAGTCAAAAACTCTCCCCCAAGAAATTCATAATCTCTAATGTTTCCAACGATCCAAAATTGTTTTTCTCCGTACGATGTTTGTGCCTTCAATTTTTCATCGATACCTGAAATACAATTGTCTATTTTACTTGTTTAATATACTCGTATACTTAACGAATACCTTACATTTTTCGTGGCTATATTATGCATTAAAGAGATTCTCCGCGATGACTGCATGCACAACAAGGAATGGCTTGGCTATGAAAATGACGTGTGTAAAAAAATGACGCAGGTGGTGTGATCATAAAATTTACCTTAATTTTCTCGGTGGGGCTATCTAAAAATTGTATTAAGTTTGTCTCAGGCGTTTGAGGAGCTAAAACCTTTAAAGAGCATACAATGTTTTGGTTCTTGCTCTAATTTAGTATGAAGAATTTATTTTCAGTTGTGCAGGCTTGCGTCGTGCTGTGAAGAAATACGTAGATTATTTAGAACAAATGTTTCTTAATTTCCCTCGTTCAAAAGCCATACAAGCTACACAATTTTAAATGTGATGCGTATACTAGCTTTTTAACAATGAAGAAAAACTTACTTTCCGGCCAGGTTGGCTTAGTGGTCAGCGCATCTGACTCTAGTTCAATAGGTCCCGGGTTCGAATTCCGGTGGTGGCGTCTAATTTTCACGGAATTGACGAGTAGATCTGCTG